GCTGATTTCTCAACAGAAACTTTGCAGGCCAGAAGAGATTGGCAGGAAATATTCAAAGTGATAAAAAACAAGGATTTATAACCAAGATTACTCTATCCAGCAGAGCTATCATTTAGAATGGAAGGACAGATAAAGAATTTCCCAGATAAGAAAAGTCTAAAGGAGTTCATACCACCAAGCTGGCATTACATGAAATTTTAGAGGGACTTTTTTAAGAAAAAGAAGAAAAAGGAAGAAAAAAGATAAAAAAAAATATGAACAATAAAATGGTAATAACTACACGTCTATCAGCAATTACTTTAAATGTAAATGGATTAAATGCTCCAATCAAAAGATAAGGTGGCTGAATGGATAAGAAAACAAGACTCTTACGTATGCTGCCCACAAGAGACTCACTTAAGATGGAAAGACACACACAAACTAAAAGTAAAGGGATGACAAAAGATATTTCATAAAAATGAAAACAAATAAAAAGCTGAGGTAGCAATGCTTAGTACCAGACAAAATAGACTTTAAAACAAAGGCTGTCAGAGACAATCTCACTTCTGGATATTTATTCAAAGAAATCTAAAATACTACTTTGAAGGGACACATGAATCTTTATTTTTATTGCAGCATTTTTTATAATAGACAAGATATTGAGGCAACCTGGATGTCCATCAATGCATGAATGAATAAACAAGTCGTACATACATACAAAGGAAAATTACTCAGCCATTAAAAAAGAATAAAATCTTGCCATCTGCAACAACGTGGATGGACCTAGAGGGTATTGTGCTGACTGTAGTAACTGAGACAGAGAAAGACAAATTCTATATGATTTCACTTACATGTGGAATCTATAGAACAAAATAAATAAACAAAATAGAAACAAACTCATCAATACAGAAAATTTTTTGATGGTTGCCAGATGGAAGGAGGCTCTGAGAGGTTGGTGAAAAAGAGGAAGAGATTAAGAAGTACAAACTGATAGTTCCAAAATTGTCATGGGGAAGTAAAGTTTAGCATATGGAATATAGTCAATAATATTTTAATAACTATGCATGGTGTCAGATGGGTACTAGATTTATCGGAGTGTCTAATCACTATGCTGTACTTCTGAAACTAATATACATTATATTTTAATTGTAATTGAAAAAATATAAAAATACACAATTTGAGAAATTAAAAATAGTTTATATTCAACATTACCATAATCATAATTTAAAAATATACCTGTATTTATTAATATTCTAAATTTACAAATTGTAACAGCTTTATTTTAATAAATTACAAGAAACACCGCTACATTAAGAATTTACCAATCAACAGCTAATATTCTTTTTCTTCCAAATGGGAGTAGGAAAACAACAAAAACAACTTTTGGACACTGCTACACATTATGTCAATAAGTCCAGGAGTATGCGTGACTAGAAATAAACAGTCATAATATTTTCTGTTTTATAGAATTCTATGAATTGTTTTAATAAGATCTAACCTAGATTAGGTATGATAAATAATGACATATCCATGACAGGAGATTTGTCATAGCATGTTAAGTAATTAACAGAGGCCAACAAATGAATAGATACCTCATGATAAATATAAAATTACAAGCTCAACTAAAATACCATCTCAAAGTGGGAAAGCTAAGAAAACATTATTAGTAAATCTAAAGACGATACTGACTTTTAAAATGCCACCCAGATATTACTCTTCTAAGCAGTTCTAGAAAATTGATTTTTATAAACAAATGTTTCATTCACAAAATGGCATGGATTCATGGAAAACAGTCTGATAATAAGAGCATTTGTTTTCCAAAGACATTATTTAATCTTGTTTAAACTATGTACATTACTAGATCTCCCTAGAAATTTAATTGTACTCCATGCCGTAATTGCTTTGGTGCAAAACTTTTCAAAGTCCTTATCCTCAGCAGATAATTTTCTATCTTCATATGCTGTGTCATTTTGGGCATTGCGCAAATCAGGTAACAGAGTGATTGCAATGAAAAAGGTTGACTATAGAGATGTTACAATGAAATTCTTTTTCTGTACCAAAAATACATTTATTATTCAACTATTTGATCTCCATTACAAAAATTATTTCCAAAGTTGCACTTTTATAAATATATTAACAGAGAAAATTAATCAAACTTATTCCAATATTTATAATAGAATATTCTCCCCCTCAATAAGTTATACATTTTCCTTGTCATTTTGCACACCAAGAGTTAAAACGTGGAAAATTTATTTACGTCATTTAGAAATTCACAAGAGTAAAAACCGTAAAGACCACCTGAATCTCACATTGATTATGGCAATGGTGACTCATGATCTTCTTCCAATGTTAGAAAAGCAATAAACTCATCTATATGCACTTATTTTTCAGTTTATAGACCTGTTTACATGAAGATGTTGAAAGCTTAATTTATTCCTGGTGTACTTTGAGAGCTACCTCAATGATTTCATCTATTTGAAATGCACAAACTATTCCAACTTTGAGCACAACCAGATGGGAAAAGTGCTGAAGCAAACCTGGTCTGAATATGTAAAGTATCAGGCACATGCCATGCCTGATTAGAGTTATGGAGTCAAACAAAATATTAGTTTATATTTGTAAATCCAATTATTTACCAATTTCTAATGCTCATTTTGTAATAAACACCAACCTAAACTGTTATGAGATAACTTATAAAAGAAAATAATAGGTTATTTTGTTTGCTCACTTTAGATATCTAATACTTCAGCCTGAAAAATGAAGACACTAACAGAAAGCTGAAAGTGCCCCTGTGTTCTTCGTAGGGCAGCTAGTTAAGTCTCAGTTTTTCGAGCTGACAATTGTTTAAAATCATCTCAAAAATAAAGTCACTCAGCTGCTTTAAAAGGCCTCAGGAATTGAAGTCTTATCACCTCGCATAGTAATACTCTCCTTTCAGCTTTAAGGTAAGAAATCCTTATTCCAATAAAACATTCTGGCTGAGATTTAAGTTCACTTTTTCCAGCTCCACAAATATAGTGACTAGTCAGTCTGTCCCCTATTTAAGATAACTCTTCAAACTTTGAGATCAATCTTGTCCCCATCCCTTATTAGCTGTGGGACATTAGGAAAACCATACATTTCTACAACATGAAAACCATACATTTCTATGACATAAAAACATTAAATATAATTTTATTGTACCTCTTAGTCTTTAATAAATTTTTGTTTGTGTCAATTGAGTTCATTCCCCAAACAACCCAATGAGGATACTTTAATCACTATGAGCCAATTTGTTACGTCAGATGATAGAAAAAGACGTGATTAAAAAAGATCCACCTGTTTACATGCCATTAGTTAAAAACTGAGATAATAAACATGAAATATTTTTTAAATTAATAAAGCACTACTCAAGCACAACATTGTAACATAAGTAATAATATATCCGTTGTTTTGTGCTTATATATTCCACTGTAATGCCTTTACCCATCCCATAGGACCTGCTTCTATTTTTAATTTTTCTCTCTGGATCATGTGTATTTTAAAAATACATTAAAGAAAATAAGAAAAACAAAGTTAGTTATAATAATTCACAAAATATTTTATGCCAAGAAGAACAACATAATCAAACCCAGTTCTTATATGTTAATTTCTGATTTGTATTTCTCAATATCCTATTTATTCATTTTCAAGTGAAATGAGATTATTAACTTTTACAAGTCTTAGGTCCACTAAGATTTTATATTTCTATTTTTTCAGCAACATAGTTTCTTTCAAGTCTTTCTTATCCTTTCGCTTTCTTCTAAGGACTTTTATCTGATGCTTAATAGAGCATTTCTCCAGTTTAAGTCAATTTACATCTTAGTTAATATCCCTATGTCTATCATTGCTGACCTATAATAGAAGCCCAATACATTTCTGATGAATAAATAAGTGAATAAATAAAGGAATAGATAAAAGAATGAGCCGTTCAAAATTTTAACAACTCATATTGGAAAATAGGTTGTTAAATCGATGTATGTATAGGCATGCATTTTTTGTTTTATCTTTCAATAAAGTCCTAGGTTTATCTTTTCACCAAATGAACTGAACAAGTTGCTGACTAGCTCTGTGTTGGAAGAACTAATAAAGTGTGTTCCATGTGCTTTACACATATCAACTCATTTATTCTTCCCTGAAACTTTATGAATTTCTGAGGAAACTGAGGCAAAGAAGAGTGAAGTGACTTGCTACATAAGATCCAAGAGCTAATAAGAGGCAGAACCAAGACTTAAATCTAGGCACACTAAGGCCCATACTTTTCAAGATTTTTGTTAATGGGAAAAGTAATTTTAAAACTCTTTATCTTAATATAATTATTTAAAAGTAAAAATTTATATTAATTGCTGAAAGTTTCTCAAATCCAGTTAAAATTCAGTTCATTATGGTGATTATTAATATACAATCATACAAAAGACAGGTTTATTCACATGTTCTCTTTGCTCTTTCATTTAGCAATTTCTTCTTAATGTTTGCAGTTGCAGTTATTCTGAGGTCTACATTAATAAACACAGGCTGACTTAAGTGTTAGTCTTGCTAATATTTTGACATTTTGTACAAACGTACTTTCCTAAAAATATCTACTTGCAATTACAAATTAGATTTCTTGACTTGAAATAGAGTAAAAGAAAGGTGCTTTACTTAGCTTTGGAATCACGAAACTCTTTTAGCAATATAAATCATATTTTTTTAATAAAGGCTAATATTTCTCAAAAATGTCTTTGAACAAGATATAAGCTTGCTTGTGACATTTATAAATTCAATAACAAAGAAGTATAATTTTGCATGCTATATAAACAAACGTTACATGGGAGCATGTTGCTTAAATTTTACAGTGTCCATTTACTAAAAGCTTTTCAGATATAGAATTTTCTAGGGAATAAAAAAAGGATGCTTTGCTTCTACATATACTAAAGAAATCATTTGGTTTATAAGAAAATTAAAAAGCCATTAAACATTAGTTGTAGATAATAGACATAAAATATTCAGAGATAATTCCTTACCTGTTTTATTGGAAAGTCTAAATGATACCATCTTATCCGGAATATTACATACATTCCTCACTGAAGCAATACAGCTATAATTAGCATAGTCCTGAGGTCGAAGATTCTTTAGTTTCAAAATCTTTGTTTCACCCTGAAAATATAAAAGCAAAAAAGGTCATTAGAAAAAGTCAATAGCAACCAAAACGAATGAATGAATCATGTCATTACATTGTATTAAATCATATGATTATCAGAATATGGTACATTGTCTTATTTTTTTTAAGGAAAATACCTTAAATTAAAAACAAAAACAAAAACAAAAACATTGCATTTAGAAATAATACTGTGCTGTGCCTGGAGATAAAAACTAACAGACTAAATGAAAATTCATGTTTTCTTTGCAAACTAGGTTCCTAGGGGGAAAAAATATCTATTTATGGTGTTAGTTATGAAAATTGTTATGCAAAGATCAGAACAGTGTACTTAATAATGGAATTTATTCAATAAACACTACGATCTATGCAGATTTCAAAATGAAATGTTATGAAAGAAAAGGATTCTGAAGAGGAGTTAATAAATGAAACACTGTCGGTAGAACAAAGTTAATGAGTCAATCTAATGATAATTAAATTTATATACATAAATATTTTGTGAATGTGGAGCAATGACAGATGATAGATCTAAAACTGCATTTAAGAAGTATTCATAACTGTATCTACATTATTACTGTTCTTGTTATTTTACATTCAGGAGTTCAAGGTCTACGCGTCTCAGGTAAATCTGCAAAATTGCAAATCGACTCAAATAAAGTGGCCAGAAATATCTTACAAACTCTTGAACAGCCAGGAAAGACCATGTAAAAACACTGAAATTGTTTAAAAGGTAAAAAGAACAAAGAAACAAAGAACAATAGAAAAAACCTCATGCCCATTTCAAAATAGGCATTCCAGGAATTCTTTACCTTCTAAAGTCTATGCATCTTCTCAAAATAGTTCTTCTCATAAATAACTTAATTATTAAGATGGTAAAATAGCATCCCAATGACATCATATTTGGTATAGAAATTTTCAAAATGTTAATTTTTTTCCAGATAACATCTGTGTGGAACCATGTTTTTTTTTTCATTTTACTTAAGTAACATCACTTGAATCTTAAAAATCACAATGCTTCCTTACATTCTTCAAAAGGATCAGAATACTTAATGACAATATATAAAGATAGTACCTGTTCATTTGCATAAAAAAAAGCTTGCCCACACATAGGCAGGCACACAGAGTTTTCCAAATGTGTCAAGTGAATCTCTTTTTAGTGTGCATGAGCATTGTGGCCATAATTCCTTTCATTCACTCTCAAAATTCAGTCTTAAATTAGTCACACCTTTAGCAATTTCCTCCGTGGGATAAACAATAATCTTATCTTTTAAAATTTTTCTTTAGGAAAGACACTGCATTGTTTTCTATAAAAACAAATGCAAATACACTCCACACAAATATATACAGTCAGTGTGCGTGTTCTTAGAATTTATATTTAAAACAAGTTCGCAGTGTATTACAGAGTTCTCATTTGCATTAACTATATATAATGCCTAGAAAAGTGTGCTTAGTTAGAATGTATAGCTGAAAGAAAATGTTATACTAAAACCAGTTAACTCAGATAACTTTCAAATGAGGTGATACATCCATTCTACTCCTACCTCTGTGTCTGTTATTGCTTAGATGTTGTCTCTTTTTTTTTCTACTCTTAACACTTAACTGTTGGTTATTCCTGGAATTCTACATGTTCCATAGTTAATCTCACTATAAAATTCCCCTAAGTGATCTTATCCTTGCGGATGGTTTTCTACTACAAGCATTATTCCTCCTACCACTATACCAAGTTTGTATCCTATTTTCAGAATTCTCCCTTAAGTTTCAGATCCATATACCAAATTTTTACTGCAATATATTCATTTTGATGCCTCACAGACACCTACAACTCAACATATTCTAAATTAAACTTCCTCTATTCCTCTAAATCTTTTTTTAATAACAGGAAAGTTAGTCTTTCAATTATTACTTTTTATTCATATATTTAGTGTCTCCTCAGATCCTTTTTTGACCTTTAAGCATGCTTAATCTAAACCATTCTTTTTTATTTATTTTTAAATGTAATCCTCTAAATCATATATTCAGCTAAAAATTTCTTGATTGCCCTTGGTATAGCTTAAGAATGAAAGCAAGTATAATGATCTACTCTATAACCAGAAGGAAAATATGCAAATCTGATCATTCCATTTCTCTTTAATTCACATGACTTATTATTGTTCTTAAAAATAAACACAACACCTACTGACATGACTGTCAACCCCATATGATCTGCATTCTCCTTGCCTCTCCAGTCTCATCTCATTCTTTTAGGGCCCTATACACTACCAGCTTCCTTCTGCCACAGATCCTTTGCACATGTGTGGCTCTTCATCTCTCTATGCCTAATCACTTTCATCTCATTCTTAGATGTCAATACTCCTTACTTCCACTTTTTCACTTTCTGGAAGATGAGGAATACCTTTTTGTGAAATCTGCTTGTATCTCTTTACAACGCGGTCTCATTTTTTCATTTATTTTGGTAATAAAAAGAAATAATTTATTTTCTGCCACCTCCCCAATGCCACATATACTTGCCTGTAAGTACCTAAAGGTCATGCCTGTCTTGCTCTGAGCATCATGTTCCAAGCACCTAACATAGGAATTAGCATAGGAGAAACAATTCAATTCAAAGTACTATAACTATCAATTTTTCACCACTCATGACTTTGCTTTATATATATTTCTCTAGAACTTTCTATCTGCTTGGCACCTGTTATGAACTCAGTAAACGTTAATACACATAGTCAATATTTTAAAAGTAATCAGATAATTATTATTTTCAAATATATATAAAGAATGAACACTGTCATTTAGATTTACATTTAATAATAGTCTCTTTATTCACAAAGTTAATTATATGCTACCAGTATTTCTTGTTTCTGTTTCCATTGACAAATTGTTTTAATACCTATTTGCTAAATACTATTTCAACACTCTACTGAAACTGCACTTACTAGTGTCATTAATGATACTCTTTTGTTAAAATTCTATAAATCTTTATTTTTTTATCATTCTATACTTCTCTGCTTATTTCTAACACTTTACTTTGCTACTTTGACAGCCCTTGTGTGTAGGTAATTAATTATGAATATAATAATTAAGTCACTTCGTTATTTTCCATTTCATTTTCTACCTAGTGTACCAATTTTGATCTGCAATCTTCTACTAATATATTCCTAGTGGAATCTGATATGTTATTACAGTTTCATTTAGTACCTATGTACAGATTCCTAACAAATCTCTAAGCAAGTGATCAGAAATGCTGCTGCTGTTTACATTATCCAGAAATAAAGAATACAAATTGTGTAATAATATTAAGATTTTAAAGCTTTAAGAGAACTCTTTACTTTTTGTGATGATCCTTACACTTTATAAATACCAAGAAATATGACTCAATAAATATAATAGTTTGCACAGAGCATACCCTAGTTAATTCTTGTGCAGAACAGTGCAGCAAAATGGGCACGTGAGGACAGACGAAAAGAAAGGCTAACTTTTGCTGTAAAGCCTAGATACACAATTTCCTAGTGGTTCAGCTAGCATGGGACTGGAGAGTTCTGGGGGTTGAGCTAAGATGATTTACATCTTGTAACTAGAAAACAAGATGTATGAGCCTACAGGACAGTCATCTAGGTTAATATGTAAGATTAATCCATGCAGTATGTCAAAGACGGAGAAGGACTAATATAGACACAATCTATTGAAGAAATGTAGAAAATAGGCAGAGTTATGGAAGACTTTGAACCTCACCCACTTAATTAATTCACCACATTCAGAAAGTGATGAAGGTGTTCAGGCTGACCCTCTTCTCAATAAACAGCTCCCAGAGTCCAAAATATTTTTTAAAAATATAGGGTAATATATATAACAAAACAGAGGATATCAATATATGTGTATGCATATATATGTTATCAAATGGCATGTATGTATACATATAAATTTTTGTATTTATAATGATTTATACTATCACTTATAACCGTTTTATCATATAACATTAATTTTATTTTGTTAATCATATAAATTTAATATGATGTCGGAAGGCTTTTTGCATATGAATTTCCATGATTTGTAAAGGGAATTTTTAGTTGATTATTCTATAATTAGTTTAATTAGCCTAATTAAAACTAATTACGTAATTGATGTAAATATGTTCAGTCTTGTAATTAGATGGTATAATTACAATACACAAGATGATGTCATGAACATCTTTACAAAAGTTCTAGAAAAATATAACAAGAGTACGTGTAGTTTGGAAAATTTAAGTACACGTTTCTTTAACATTCACAAAGTTATATTCAACAGCTACATTTAAACTTTTAAAACTACTTTTTTTAAATAAAAGAAATAGAAGGAAGGTATTCTATATATTTATTAGTAGCCAGTATCAATGGCGGCATTTTCTAGTGAAAATAACAATAGCCTCAAGCAGTATTTCCACTTTACTTACAAAAAATATTGGAACTTTTTAAAATATGTACATTCGGATATCAGTAAAAAAAGTAGTAAGGCCTTCCAATTCACATTCATTTTTGTAGCTTTAATTTTATTTTATTACCAACTTATAAGTAACAATATATACTAGCCTACATCTTCAGTATTAAGTGGAAGTATGAAAAACATAATTATTCCTTTTAAACTTATTACATTATATGTTTATGAATTTATATCAGCCTCAGGAACACTAATTCTATTCCAGAAACACTATCTATAAAAGATATAAAGAAAATTTTGTCACTCAACACATTAGTGAAATAAACATTGAATTCAAATTGATATAGTTATTAGCTTAGTATGAATAGGCATGTAAGATAGGTATATCTCATTTTCTTAGAAATTCTATTTTATTAAAAATAAGACATTGTTATTGAATAGAAAAGCATCTTTAAAAGAAATTTAATTTTCTAACATTAAAAAATAATGTCTTTAACTCAATAACAATTCTAAAATTCCTTAGAAATATATAGATTTATTTTTCAATATTAGGAAAAACAACTAGATATAACTTTGTATATTAGGATCTACATAG